CTGAAGCTGGAGCCAGTAAATCCAGAGCAATGCCTAGGCTATTATAAACACTGGTGAAAACACACTCTGTAGGTCAGATACTTTACATTTGCCAAGTGCCACAGACACAAGCTGAGGTGACACTGTGAAACAGCCATGCGACTTAAAAAAATAACCGATTAATGAAATTGCCAGATCTCAGGTTTTAATGGGATATCATTCTGTTCCCAACCTTCCTGTCACATTTCAGTTCCCGAAATATGACAGTCTTCACAAATTGCATCTTCTTTGATTGCATCAACAAGGTTTTGATTCATTCTTAATTCTTGATTAAAATACTACCTCTATGGCCAAATTAACTTGTCAAACATACTTCTGAGGACAAATTTCTAAGAACAGGAAGAAAAATTGTTTTCTTATTTTAAGGATATAAAATCCAAATTATGTACTGGTCACTATGGGTATTCTTGAGACTGCAGAAAACTGAAGCTTCATTGGGCTGATTGTTTTGAGCAGCAGGTGGCGCTGTGGAGATTCTCTGTTGTGCAACTGAGCTGGTGTGGAACGCATAGGGCTCAAGGAGGTACTATAGCCAGGATGGAATGAGAGCTAATCACAGGGCTCGCACACACACTCACAAGCACACCCACACAAGCACGCACACACAGCCATGCACATACTGTACACAAGCTGACACACTCACAAGCACACACAAGCATACAAGCGCACACACACACAGCCATGCACATATTGTACACAAGCTGACACACTCACAAGCACACACAAGCATACAAGCGCACACACACACAGCCATGCACATATTGTACACAAGCTGACACACTCACAAGCACACACAAGCATACAAGCGCACAAACACAAGCGCGCACACACAGAAGCACACAAACGAGCAGACACGAGCAGGCACCTGTACAAAACCCATGTGTACGTGTGGGTGGGGAAACATGTAAAACCCTCACAGAACGATCCCTCAGTAAGCTCAAAATGAAGACCCAAGAACTGTGGCACCACAACTTTGTCCTTCTTCCAGGTCATTGAATAAAAATGTATGATGCACAACTGGTTATACTGTAACAAGCAACTTGATTTTATGCTTTCTTTATATTTGTGTAAAAAGTGATTTTTTTGTTAGCCACTTTCAAAGCTTTTTATTTTTTACATTTGTTATTATGTAAATATATCATGTGGGTGCATGTTTACATTATTCGCTCTGTTGGCATTGAACACCTGGCATTAAATTCCCATTTCAGTCTCTTTTCTGACAGGACCAGTACTAATCCAAGTGGGCTGATCTAAAATAAATTGCTAGGCTCCACTTCACCTTATTTGTGTTTAGTATATTTGTGTAAAGAATGCAAGATTCAACAATGTGCCTTTACATACCATCAAAGACACAACAAAGACACAACAGGGTGCTCTTGTGAGACCTGTAAATACCTTGAAAGTGCAGTTTGAAGGCTGTGTCTAAACTAACAAGTAAAAGTGATTGATGTAAAAAATGTACTTGAGTGTTGAAGTATATATTTTTATTAAAACTCAGAGATCTGAAAGACAGCAACTAAATGTTTCGTTGACTTAAAAAAAAAGTCGTTGTACAGTACGATGTCAGTCAAAGTCCTTAACAGTTAATTTAGAGCATCCTTTCCTTAGAAAGTACTCCCCATTAATAAACAGGATTTACTGGCACTGTAGTTCCAGCAGACTGTTCGCCTAAATCTTATTGTCATACATACTGTAGGAAACAAGGAAACAACAGTTGACTTTAGCTATAGTGCTGTATACAGTATGTGGTTTAAATATGAATTCTAAAAGTATCTAAAAAAAGATTAACAGACTATCATTGTTTAAGGATTAATTATTTGAAAGAACCTAAGCTACAGTACATGACAACAGTCTCCTGATGTAATAACAACTTTGGCTAAAAACATGACCTTTGTTTCAAACAGCAAGATAGGCTAAATGGCACATTTTCACTACTTCCAGAATCTTTTCTGGGTGATAATTGTGAAAGCAATGTTCCAGCAACTTTCTGAACTTCATGCTCATCAAAAGTCATGCTTATTCTTAGACAAACTGGCACAGGAACCATGCCAAACATGTATGGATAGAAACCATTGTTTAATCATAATGGAGCTGTACAGCAAACCACATGCTGCTAATTCATCGGCTTCATATATTTGAAGAACACAAAAACCCACTCTGTATTTTTCTATAAAAGTTTGGTAAATATAATCTTATATTTGCTCTAAAGCAACAAAATGGGAAAGGTAAGATCTCTGGCTGTATACTGGTGAATGACATACAGTATGCTGATTCCTCTTCTCTTTTTTAGTTTAGAGTTTAATTATCAACTCTTATCTTTTTTTTTAAGTTTCTATGCATAAATAAAGCACTTTTGGCCAACAAGCAAGATTATCACCATGAAGTGAGCAGTTTAATAAATTTGTTTTACACTGCATAATTTATGCACAATCCTATTTCCTCTGGAAATGCTCATTACAAAATGCTAAAAAAGATTTCCACCATTACTTTTGCTCATCTTTGTTTCAGTCTTAATGATGGTTATATATTCTCAATAGAAAAAAGTTTTTCCTGTTTAGGTTTAGACAATAGGTTGCATTCTAACATCATACAATGGTA